CGTCTGTCTGTCCGTCCGTCCGTCCGTATGTATGAACACAAGGATCTCAGAACCTATAAGAGCTAGAGACGTGAAATTTTAGATGTAGGGGCTCCTTACTTACTCCGTTTCCAAGAAATCGATAAAAATCGATGTCGATATCCTGTTTTTTGGACAATTTTGAAATAATAAGAGCTAGAGTCACCAAACTTGACATATCTAAAATAGAATATTTTGATGTTGGAAGAAGAGGGTTCAAGGTATCCCCTAGTTGGGAGCTCCCGACTAGAACCTCTTACTTGTTTGCTGTTATCGACTGGAAAAAAAGATGCATTAAGGGTAATGCCAATCATATATATACATTGTTGTATATATTTGTCATAACTCACTGCCGAGTATGCAACTCATTCCATTCTTCTTAGCGGAAGGATATTTAAGCTAATAGTTCAAATTGCAAGAAAATCGACCAAATCTGGGAAATCCTTGCTATATTCATCTATACATTATACGACAAGGCTTTACTTAAATTATTTTAAAAAGAGTAGAGCTTAGCTAATATGATTCATTGAATCCTTTTGATCAACAGCAATTGCGACTCGCGCTTTTTTTTAAGCTTTGCTCACAGCCAAAGCTTATGCACAAATAGTTGAAGGCCAAAACTATGCGGCAGGTTTAAAGCGTGATTTCGGTGAAACATTTTGATTTCGATTCCGATTATTGCCTCTTGAGATAAGTGTGGTGGTATTAAGTATTTCTAGCTTCTGTGGCTGTGACCCATTTTGGCCCAGCGACGGCCGTTGGATGACGCTGGCGACGACGACGACGATGACTAATGCCCCCAGCTATGGCAAGCTGTGTGATAGTGGATGATATTTTTGTATGGTTTGTGTGTGTGCTGCGAGCTTTTCATTGACCCACAACATGACACACACACACACACACACACACACACGCGCACGCAGACAGCCAAGGCAGAGTGTGACAACAAGGCATTAACTGACAAACACGGCGTCATCATTTTCCATTACAACTCAATCTCGTACAACCTCCAACTGTTGAATGTTTATGAAATGTGCGTGTGTGAAGTTCCCTTCCCACACCACTTAGACCCCCGGACCCTGTTAAATTTAATTGCATATTCAAACTAGAAACATTTCGTAGTCTGCTTCTGACACGGGCCTTAGCCATGAAATGAACTATCACAATGCCATTGGCCATCAGGCAACGTTTGGTCTCCGACTGCCGACTGTCAACTGCCAACTGCCAACTGCAGCTAACATTGTATCCTCTTCGGCGTCTCGCTGTGTCGCATTACATAAGAATTCAATTTTCTAAACAGAATACCGTCAGCTGAGGGTATCAGCTAAAATGCTGCCGCTGTGCGTTCACCTAATGCACCGGATATGCTCTTGCCAAAGCCAAAGCGCTTTCAGTTTACAGTCTCCACTTAACCACCCGCTGTGAATCTGTTCACACCAAACCTTTTTCTCCAAGCTGCGGGCAGTGCAAGGAAGACAGGAAGGGGCGTCCTTGAATCCAGCCAGCCATAAAACTGCAAAACTTAAGCTGATTGAAATCAATTGCACAGTTTAAATTCAAGAGCAATAAGACTTAATACTCTTTAAATATTCTTTATTATTTATTTTTTCATTTTTTGTGAGCAGCTTTGAGTGCAAATCCAAGTGATTTAATAATAAATTAGTTTTGTTATTAGTTTTATTCAACAGTTTTCCACACATGTTTGACTCAACGTCCTTCGTTTTATGTCTTGAATATCTCAATAGTTTCGGTAGATATACCGTCTGCTCAACGAACGGCACCCACTTACCTTGGGGATTTCAACTCTAAACCTTTTTGAACCGACTCATACTAGAGCGATTTATCCAACACAAAGGAGCCAAGCCTCAAACTTTCGACCAGCAAATACATATGTATACATATATATGTATATATATGCTTTAGGCCATTTACCTTCGCATTGCACTAGTTAACGTTTGTTTGTTTTATTTGTGTCTGTTATTTGCCTTTATTAAGCACATTTCAAGTTTTCGTTTTACGATCTAAAATTCCATATAGATACATACACTTGTCTATTTATTTATCTTGGGATTGGGATTTTTTTGAAGTGGTTCGATTTTCTAAGGGACACATATCTAAGGGACGTATATGCTTCTTTTTGCAGCATATGTGTAATCTGAACGTATCTTATATCTGTAAACACAAAATGTTGTTTGACATTTTTTGCGTAAATGTCGGTCGTTGTTGGTCTTTGCTCATATTTTAACAAAAACTCAGCAGTAATAAGATTCGAATCGTTAAAACTTGTATCTACTATAGCATATATAGAGGTCAAACTCTTGACTCTCGGGCCGAATGCTTGAGTTTTTCGTTTAAAGCCCTAATTAAAATACGCCCTATAGGGGCTGTCCGCATGTCATCAACTTCCTACATCTTTCATATAATGTAATCCGTAAATATTTAATAACTCAATTAAAATTGAAAATATTTCATCATGCTTTAAAATCCATTTGAATTAAAGAATTCATTTAATATAATATGTTAAATAACGCAACAAGAACAAAAATACTTAGCTTTTCAGTTGTCTCTTTGTTTCTGCCTGGATTAACGTGCACATCCAGTCAGTTTTCACAAAGTGAATTGTGGCTGTTGCAGTCGCAGTCGCCGTTGCAGTTACAGTTGCCCAGTTCACTTCCAATTTGTTTCAATTTGATGGCCAACATTAATTGATGTCTGTTGTTGTGCGCCGGTCGAGCCTTACTTGTTACTGTTTCTCTTTGTTAATTGTTCGATGCGCAATCTTTTGTGTTATTGCCATTGTTGGTGTTGGCTATGTCGGCTATGTTGGTGTTGCCATTGCTACCGCTGGTTGTTGTAGGCGTAACGCTATTGCCCTGCTCTCCTCTTCCCGGGCCCGTGTCGCTCAGGACCGGCTGAGCATAGTCACGGCCTACATAAGCACACAGGCTCACAGTTGCACGCTCCGGTTTGTTACACTGGATAAACGAGTGCAAACGCCAGCAGAATCCTTGAGCAAATATATACATCATCCAATACCATGCCCACCTCCATGTTCGTGTCCGTGTCCGCGTCCGCGTCGCCTGTCGCCTTTCGTATTTCGTTCTCTTTTTAAACCCGATGCCGCTTACAGCTTAAAGGCTGGGAATGCTCATATCTCATACTTACTTAAGCCCTGGCTAAGCTTCTGCTGCTTCGGATTGCATTTAACGTGTCCCGGCATGTTTTGGCCTGGATTTGGTTTGTAGCTGAGTCGCGAAGCCGCTCATTAAGACCAAGCATTAATTCAAGAAATTGTATACGGAGTATGCTGTATTTCTCTAAGATTTCTTCCTTTAATTGCCCCACAAACTTAACTAAAAGCCAGCCATTCTTCATCTTGTTTTTATAAAATATACTGGCAAAGCGATCAAAATCAATTACAACACATAATGTTAACAGGTTTTTCCCATATTATTATTATTAATATTCTTGATCAGCATCAACAGTCGAGTAGCTACTCTATGTTGTATATGCATTTTAGCCAAGCTTAAAGAAAATATGATATTCATGGTATTTTACAGCTGGTGACAAGATATCATAATGCAAAACGGTCGAGTTTCCATTAACAGCTTAATTGGGTACATTAGCAAGGGCTGAGAAAATACATTTTCGTCAGAAAATCAGTCACAGCCAGCGAGTCAATTTTAATTAGATAAGCTGAGAAAAACTGTCGGAATTGCATCCAAAGTTAAGCAAAAGTTTTAAGCAATTTGGCCAAACTGTGACCTTGCCTGCCACTTGCCAGTTTCCACTTGCCAGTTGCCAGTTAGCAGTTAGAAGTTGCCCAAGGCTGCACGTGTCCGTAACCGGAATGTGAGTCTGCAAGAAATACGTGGAAGCAACCGCAGCAGCAAAAGCAGTGGCATTCTTAATTTGCACTGCGAGGTTAGTTCATAAAGAAATACCGGAATAAATGACCTAGTTCTTGTTTCCTGAAATATCCAAGTTATGTAATAAAATGAGGCAGTTTTTATCAATTTTCGCAAGGAGCAGGGTGGTTAGCATAGGGCTGCTAAATGCTCCAACCGTTTTAGTTATTTAAAGATGGATTTTAAAAAATTCCACCCGCAAGCCTAAAAAAGTGGCAAAAAAGGCTTGTTATGTATATGACTATCTTAACTATTCGATCTTGCTCTACAATATTATTTTCAAATTTATTCACGGCTTGCGAAAAATGCACGACATTATGTGGAAATGTTGATTCTACGTAGTAAAAGTAAATTTTAATTTTACCGATTTTGGGCTAGAAAAATGGTGACAATACCCGCTAGTATATTTATAATAAGCTGTTTACTTGTAAAATTTGATCAATTAATCAGTTTTAGCAATTGTGCTAAGTCAAATAAAAATTGAAATATATTTAAACCTCAGTTATGATGAAGGAAATCGATTCAAAATAGTTGGTAAAATGTTTGTCTTTAATTGGAAGCAAAATTGCTTGACTGATTCTCACTGCACTGAAGTGTATTAAATTGGATTGCATGTGGCTATGGCTTTGGTTGCTTTTGTCATGCCCATACGAATGTACATCTAATGCCAAATGTGCAATACATTCAGATCAGGTAACTGGTAAAAGTTAAACACATCAATGTGATTGCACTAAGGGAGCTGCAAAAGAAGGGGTTGTTTGTTTGGGCTAAGCACAGGCGGTCTCCCTTGGCTCATGGATGTGTGTGTAGGCTGCAGCTGCAAGTGTATGTGCCGGTATGTGTGTGCCGGCTCGACAAGCAGTTCCAGTTCACTGGACTCTAAAGTGATTGCAGGATATTGAAAATGGGGTTGGGAGAGCAAACCGGAAGGAATGTGCTTGGTCGCTGCTTTGTAGCTCCGTGTACCTAATGTTTATGGGCGGCAATGAGATTTGACAAATTTTTTTTAGTGAATTAATAGTGTGTGCGAGTTTTTGCTAATAATATTATTTATTTTCGACTTTTCTGTTGCAGCTGCCAATACTATGTAAAGAGTCATCCATGGGTGCTGGCCTATCAGGGCGTCATCACGTTCTTTGTGCTGGCAAACTTTACGTTGGCCACATTTATGGATCCGGGCATTATACCCAAAGGTACGTAGCGTGCTAAACGGTGCCCAGCGTCATCCGCACAGCCTAAACTTGACTGCATTCTAGCCTCGCCCGACGAAGACTGCGAGGAGGAGTTCCGCGCACCGCTCTACAAGAATGCCGAGATAAACGGCATTACAGTTAAAATGAAATGGTGCGTTACCTGCAAGTTTTATCGCCCGCCCCGCTGCTCCCACTGCTCAGTGTGCAATCACTGCATAGAGGTGAGTTCCAATGGCATTTGCAATTTTAAACGCATATCATTTGATGAAAATATTTCTCTCTTACTTCTACAGACATTCGATCATCACTGTCCCTGGGTAAACAATTGCATTGGCAGGCGCAATTATAGGTTCTTCTTCTTCTTTCTCGTATCACTCTCCATCCATATGCTGAGCATATTCTCGCTTTGCCTGTTCTACGTGCTCAAAATCATGCCCAACATTAAACAGACGGCGCCCATTGTCGCGTATCCTTTTCAAAACAAAATATATAATTCGAAAACTGAATTTTATTGCAAGAGTGTGAGCCAAAGTTGACGACTGAACCAAAAGCAACCTAGCCTCTAGAGTGCCAGACTAGAGCATAGAATTGTTATTTAACAAACAGATTTATTTTATTCATTATGAAACTCGAGCATTCATCGAATTTTCCATTAGTAAAATATTTAAATTGTTAAGCTCTAAGCTCAAAGATTCCGAAAATAGGAAGTTATTTAAACCTTTAAATCTACTACAAGTAGGAGATTTGAAACGGTATTAAAGTATATTTTAAGCTCATTTTGTATTGTCTACATAATTTTGGCTTGCAGCCTTGAATTAACACATATTTCAGCTAAAACCATGTGTTGTCATCGGAAGATTGGTTTGTCTTAACTGAAAACGTTGCTTTTGAATGTATAGCATGATACTGATGGGCCTTGTCACTGTACTGGCGATACCGATATTCGGGTTAACGGGCTTCCACATGGTGCTGGTATCGCGGGGTCGCACCACCAACGAACAGGTGACTGGCAAGTTCAAGGGCGGCTACAATCCGTTCTCGCGCGGCTGTTGGCACAACTGCTGTTACACTCAGTTTGGACCACAGTATCCCAGGTAATGAAGACTTACGGTTTATATGAATTACCACTGACTCGCTAACTGTTTGCCCACTGACAGTCTTCTGAAGCCGAAGAAGTACGCATCGCGACGATCTCAGACGCAAAATCAAGCAATAAGCACTATATGCAACGATCGGACCAATCAACAGACCAATGCCGGTAGCGGTAGCGGAGCCGGAGCCGGTGGCAATGGCAGTACAGCCGGCGGCGTCGGCAGTGGAATGCGCGGCACCTCGGTACAATATTCACCCCGCTCCTACTACGAGTCGAGTCGGGAGAAGCGTGGAATTCAGGTAAAGACTTATATGGCCGAGGGCAATGGTTATAATCAGCGGTCGGGCAGCACAACGCTTTATAGTAAGGTGGGTAACATTTTGCAAACCAAAACGAAACATTGCAGAAATTGCTATGCAAAACGATTATAAATCTCTCTCTATAACTATAACCATGTATCTATTTGTGAAAGTTTCACTTGTAACTGACTTTGTTTCTGTATCTGTTGCCTTCCTCAAGTGGCAACTGCAACAAACAGCTGAACAACTGTAGTCGCCACTTGTTGTTGTTGTCGTTGTCTTTCATTTATTTTCTTCATTTGATTGCAATTGTAATTCATTTAATTGGTTTTGTATTGGCTGTTAACTTAACTTGACTTGTATTTAACATTTAACACGCACATTCTGCTTGCTAACTATGTTTTACATGCGCTTTTGAGTTGTTGGCTGCCAATTGCGTTTGTTTCTTCGTTTTTTTACTTTTCAGTTACTACCATATCCACAAGTTAATCACATCCGCTCGACATTTGTATACTTAGCTACACCCCCTTTCCACACCCTTTGGCTTTACCCAGAACTGTATATTTAACTCACAGTTTGTTTGCCCGTCGTCCTGTCGTAATTATTTAATTGTAGATTGTAAAGAAAAAGCCAACTGCCGTTGCCACTGTTGCCGCTTCAATTCACGGCTTAAGCGAAAATTTCATTTTTATCGTGACCTGAGTTGGCTTCTGTCTGCGCTTTTCAGATACTTTTTTAATATATATTTATAAGCGTTTGTTAGCATAGCAAACATTAATTGCGCAATAGTTGCCACGGCCAGTCGTACATAGAAATATGACATACAATTCAGCATTGCTAACACCCACATCATACCAAACACACACATCATATCACACACACACAATCAAGCACAAACAGCAAATATTGCACACACTTTCATACTCTTTTTATATCGTCAACGCTCTATCCTCTATCTATGTATATCTTGTATTTCAAGCTTGGTTTATTTTCTTGCACTTGCGTAAAGTATTTTAGCTTTGTCACGTTGTTTGTAACGCAGTCCTTGGTATGACGTATTACGGTTAAAGTAGAAAGTCGCTTCAAGTTCATTGCAGGAATATGTTAATGTTTGAGATTAAGCTACAACAAAATGAAAAAAGACGGTTATTGCAAAAAAACCAAATACCCGTTTTCGCTTTGTGCTTAAATAATAAATAAAATAAAAACAATATGCGAGCAGTCCTCACAGGATGTCTTGTATTAGACTTGGTTTCAGGTTTACAGGCTAGTGTATGTGTATGAGTTGTAGTTTTATCTTAACCAAAGGTTCAAAAGATAGCTCGTTGTTTTATTCCAATTTGATTTTAATAATAATAAATGTATTAGTAATAGTATAAAATGTATTTGAGTAGATTCATGTGGGCTGTCATCGTATCACTTCATTTTATTGATTTTGAACAGTATTAAAGTTTCGCTTTCAACCGAATCTAGTTATTTGACGCATTTGCTATTTTGTTTAGTTAGTTATTAGTTCCATTTAGTTTGTTCCGTTTAATTTGGACGTTCTGACATTTTGCATGCGGTTTCAAGTACTTAAGTTGAAATTTTAAAGCTTTTGCTCTGTTGCTTATATGATTATTGATTGGCTCGTTTGTCTAGATTTGTGCTGTAAATTCACTCGCAGATTGTTGTGCAACTATGTTTCAATTTAGTAACTAGCGTATATAGAAAATATATGAACAAAAAATTGGTCAAAAAAGAAAAACAAAACTCTACACTTTCTGCAAGCACCGAAAAAGGTAAAACAAAAAAACAAAAAATAAAAATAAGCAACGAAAAAAATGTATCAAAAAATTATATATGTAATTCTATAATTTAATTATTTACTGATAAATACATTTTGATTGATAATGATTGAAAACTGATTGATATGAAATTTGTCACATGATTTTTCTGTTGCTTTCTCACCAAAGATTGATTATATTCAATTCTAAAATGTAAAATCACTCCTTATATTTATATTCATATATATACATATATCTCTTCTAAACTCAATAACATTTTTCTTTCTCTTTGTGATCTGAATGCTCAGTAAATTCGCTGAATTTCGTAGCTTTGATCTATCCATTCCAGTTTTACTTCTTTTCCCAATAAAATAATTAAATATCATGCCTTGCAAAAAAAAAAAAAAAAAAAAAAGAATACAACAAAAAATACACTTTAAAAAGATTACAGTTTCTATATCTGATCCCGGATTCGGGCATCTTACACACTGTTTGTTATATGTATACAGGAGACACTATTAGCATCGTTCACTTCTGGCCAAGATTCGGCGTTCGACAAACGACATTTGGCATTAGGCATTCGGCATTTGGCATCGATTCATTTGTCCAACCCACACACACAAACAAACACAAGTTTCGTTTCCATTTGGTTTCAAGTACATTACAAATCGATCAATCGCAACTACTCGTTTTATGTAGGCCTAAGGTTTTCTGTGTTAAGCACTTGCTCAAGCGAATGAAGCTCCCGACTAATTTAGAAATTTTGTATACGTTCTGCGATCTTCACAGCTGTCGCCGGGACGGGAGTGCTCCGATACGGACCTTGAGCCGCCGCCCGCCTCACAGAGTCAAGACTGCGAGCCGACTCCGCCGCTGCAACGGCACAACTCGACCAACTTCTACCTGCCTCAGGTGAGCGACACCGCGCCCGGCATCAATATGAGCACCATGAACAATGGCAATATTGCTAGCGGCGCAGGTGGTGTCCCCAACTCATCGCAGACTGGCGGCGGTGGCGACTCACCGCGTCACCTGCGCATCTATCATCCACGTCACAGTCCGCACGCGCGAACCAGGTGAGTAGCTGCAGTCTTACAAAATACGTACATCATTACATCCTGCACATTTGCTTTCAGGGGCCTGGATCCGCAGCGCGGCTACACGAGCGATGCGCTCTCGCCGGACCAACCGGGCGGTGGCTATGTCGTTAATGGTCAGCAGGGCATATCAGTAGCACAAAGCCAGCGCGGTGGTACCACAACGGCCACGCCCACCATGCAACAACGAATCAAGCCACTGGGCGTGGCCACGCCACTCGTCATCGCCAGTCCAGTGAGAAGGTGAGTGGATCTATCACATTGTGGTCCAGTGCTGCTGTGGTGCAGCCAGCGGCCACTAAACTGAACTTCTCCAGCTAGCCATATTCATTTGTTGAGCTGCTTTCTGCTGTAAATGATTGTACAATTGCTTCAATTTGTTGTTGTTGCTATTGCTATTTTGACGATCAGCTCGATTTGATGGCTTATATCAAAGTGCCCACCAAACATGTTTGTTATATGAGGTGTTTGTGTATGAAGGAGTCTGTAACTAATTGCTGCCAATTGCGCTCCTTAGCCGTTTTTTTTTTTTTTTTTTTTTTTGTCATTGTGTTGTGCTTTCGCCCATTCTCATGTACGAGTGCTTACTGTACATCTTGAACTCGCTGCGCACGACAGTGAGCGAGCTGGCAATAGCTTGGAGAGGTCATCGAACGCTAGCTATACATCAGTTGCGACCATATTCCTCTCTCTCGCTTTCGCTCCCTCTCGCTCTGTCTCCCTCTCTTTCGTTGTACTACTTACACGCCTTAGTCGATACTCTGTAATAATCGCTCTCTATTTCGCCTCGTCTTAAATACGAATACGCTCTCCTCCTATGTCATCCACATATGTGTATATATTTTGCACACAGCTATATCCCATGATTTGTTTACACACTTTTAAACTAATTTAATTTTTAAACTTTTCTTTTTTTCGTTTTCTTTGTTTATTTTATTTTTTCTCTCGATGTAGTCAATACTCAAATTCTGAGAACAGTACTAATTCCTAGGCTTAGCTTACCAAAAAAAAAACAAAGAAAATATATATATATATATATATATATATACATATATAATTATATATATAAAAAATATATATAAAAATATATATAATCATATAAAATAATAATATGAAAACCAAAAACAGAGAAAACCAACAACAAATATACTAGGATTAAAGTGAGACGATAAAAGTCATGATTACGATTACGATTAATGATATTTATGTAAGCACCTACCTTGAGCAGTCGTTAATACCATACAAACTTACACTCTGTCATCGGCCAAAGAGGCGCACAGCAGAATTGAGCCTGAGCTCGAGCCATATCCTGAACCGAAATCAAAATCGATACCGAAACCGAAACCGAACTAAACAAAAACCACAAATCCCCAAGTTAAGATATTCTTCAAAGTATCGTGTCTACCCGTTTCCTCATTTCTGCCTACGCCTCTATGTGGATAGACGTCGGATGACATACGACAGTTGTCTCTTTAACGTATCCGTCCACACAGACACATACACACGAATACACACACACTCTCTGACAAAGACACACTCCTAGAAAAGACCACTGCAACTAGCGTCACCACCAAGCGCACCCACTCTATGTACTACTACCTCAGCTTTCATTTGATTGAAGGTGAGTGAATTCTTGAATTTGGTGCCGTTTCACTCTTTTTTTTTTTAATATATACCCTTGCAGAGGGTACTATAATGTTTTAACGAAATGTGTAACGCATTAAGTGTGACATCTTGATCAGGCATCAACATTTGAGTCGCTATAGCCATGTCTGTCTGTCTGTTGGTCATAGAATCATGACGCTTCGTCGTAAAACCTGGCATGGAAGCGCTTGTTGGTCAAAGCCGACTACTATATTATATAGAAAACCTAGCCATAATCGCTCGAAAAGGGGTTCCAAGTTGGGAGTATTATATCTTGCATTGTCATATATGTCTGCAAGGGTATTCGATCTTCGGCAAATTCGAAGATAACTATTGTTGTTTTGTATTCGCTAAGAGTCGCCACATCCCAAATTAAATCGAAATCAAATCGAGGCCCACTCAGCAGGCCTTGCTCATTCTCAGTCACATCTGGGCCTTGGATCTGGCAATAACAATAATTCATTCATACAATATTGACACAGATACGAATGTCATAGCTCGCATAGTCTGTCAGGCTAGTATCAAAAATTTTTTGCCACACACAAAACAAATTCTCGTTTTGTTGTATTTTTCATATAACATTTAAAATTTTTATATTTCTTTCGGCTAACAAGTTGAATTTCGCCAAATTGCGGTACGATCCGTTTTTTTTTTTAAATTACTAAAAAGCAATAACAATATGAATAAGAACAAACAGTCACAGCTCAACGCTGGTCGCGTCAGATCACTGGGTCTGTTGGACAAGACGTTGCCCCTGACTGCCGCAACCATACCACAGCTGCGCAATCGACGCCAGTTTCAGTTCAATGGGATGCAGTTTGAAACGAACCCATTGTCACTGCATATGCCGCGCGGTGGCCTGGACGGAGACGCTGGCGATGGAAGATTTCCAGCAGCAGACGATCGACGGGAGCCATCTCCCTACCAAACATTCAAAACATCATCGCCGTCGTCTGCGATCAGTCGCGTCAATGCATTGCGTAGCTTTGCAAATGGCATCGGTGGTGGCAACGACATGGCCAGTCCCAGGGTGGTGCCACAGTTGGCTGCCAGTCAGCCGCATCTACAGCGCCAGCCGGAGGAGCGCATAACGTGGCGGGCGGACAACGATAATGGCTTTAACCAGGCAGGTGGCGAGGATGCCTACGCCTACAACAATGACAACGGCGGCTACAACAACAACAACAACAACAACAACAACTACAGCAGCAGCTATAACAACAGCAACGACAACACTACCGCCAGCTACAACAACAACAGCAGCTACAACAACAACAGCAGCAGCAGCTACAACAACAGCAGCAGCTATAACAATAGCGTCAGCAACAACAATAATAGTTTCAGCAACAACAGTAGCTTCAACAACAACAGCAACAGTAACAACAGCAACAACATTAACGACAACGACAACAATAATAGCGAACGTTTTCAGCAAGTATTGGCCAAGTACAGCAGGCAGTCACATACCGACGACTACAACAGTACCAATAACAACATCATCAATCACACCAACCCCAACAACAATAACGTTGTTAGCGATCATGTTAACAGCAACAACAACAACTATAATAGTAATAATAATACTATGAAGACAAGCAGCTCATACAATAATAATAATAATAATAATAATACCATAAAGTCAAGCAGCTCCTACAACAACAATACTAATAATACTATGAAGACAAACAGCTCTTACGCTAATAACAATGCTTTGAAGACAAGCAGCACCTACAATAGCAACATGGACGGAAACAACCAAATTGAGGACGTATTCAATAATAATCAGCCGGTCCACAAGGAGGAATTACTGATCCCACCAAGAATCTATAGTCGGCCGCTGAAATTAAACGCCTTTCGTTTTGGGCAGATGCGAGCAGGTGGCAGTTTCAATGCAGCTGCAGTCAATCACTCGATGGACTACATTACGTTGACGGGCTTTCTACTTGGCTATCTGACATCGAATCTGTTGTTTTTTCTATGCTGGTACTTTAGTTGGCTGAAGGGGCAGGTTGTTAAGCTGCGCAGACATTTTCTCGGTCATGCTAATCTATGGGAGTTCTTCGACTTTGAGGATACCACACGCTATACAATGCAGACCAAATTGCTATTGGCGCCCATCATACTTGGCTGCAGCATCCTCTACTGTGTCGTCAATATACTCCATTTGCTGATCAAGCTGGTACGCTCCGATGTGCCACGGACTGTTGTCGATTTTGTGCAGCGCATCGCCCGGAGCCACTGGCCCTAACCAACTGTCCCCAACGTCATTTGTGTGCGACCCCCCACTCGTGAGCTGAATGTCTGTCTGAATTGTTGCTTGAGGTCATTTCAAAATAACTAAAGGTCATCTACGTTCTCGGCAAGCTAACTGTTTAACACATTTATTTATACACACAAGAAGGTGGCTATGGTGTCGATTGTACATAATAAAAGGATTCATTCCAAAATTGGTCTATGCATAACTGATAACCAATTACTGATCACTGTCTATCGATGGCATATGTCTATCGTCTATCGACTCTATATGTGGGCCCTAAAACGGCCCTCATCAGTCTAACTCGTCTGCGCGTTGTGTGAAGCGTGCATATGTCTGTAGCATAACTGTTACTAATCGTCAATGTTCAATACCCTAACGATATTGTGGTCCAAGTTTGTAGCCTAACCGCGCACACAAAAACACACATGACTCATTGAATACTATCACACACTTGCGCACACACACATACACAATCACACCCGCACAGACTTGCATTGTTTTACTCTGCGCTGTCAAGTCCTAACATTAACATGGCGCGCTGTTATTGACTGCAGCCTCAGTGTTATTCGTTAACATAACTCGCTCTTTAACCCGCTTTGTAAACGTTCGCATTCGCCGCTCACACACACACTCTCGACTCGTCCTCCTTCGCAGATCCAATCCGGGTACACCCACGCAGCCACGACGTCCCGACTTCATAGGCCTGAATGCGCAGGCGGCACAGCAGCAACAACAACAGCAGCAGCAGCACCAGCAGCAGGCGGCCGCAGCGGCAGCTGCCTACTATGAGTACACCAGCGGCCTGCCGCCGCAGCATCCACAGGCACCAACGATTCAACATCAGCAACAGCTGCTGCTACAACAGCAGCGTGTTATGCTGCAGCATCAGCAACAGCAGCAGCAACAAGGTTAGTCCCCCTTCGGCAGTCTCCCATTTGCAGTCATAACTAATGCCAGATTCTGGCTCTTCTTTCTAGCGCTGCAGCAGCAGCAGCAATCGCTGGCGCAGGCTGCCTATGGCGGCAGCCCACAGCGTCGCTTTCTGTCTGAGGGCGAGCTAGTGCGACAGGGCGCTGGCGGGGAGCTCTCCTATGCGCGTTCCAACAACACGGTGGACAACATACGCGAACTGGCTGGCAGTCCGCAGCGCGGCGTCTACATGTGGAAGGACACATCGCCCGGCTTTGGTGGTGGCGGCGGCCCGGCTGCTGTCAGCATTGGCAGCAGTGCTGGCACACTGCCAAACAGCAGTAATACGTCTGGCATTATGCAGCATGCTCAGTACATAACAGCCGGCGGTAGCACCCATCCACTCATCATGACCCACTCACGGTTGCAGGACTATGCCAACCAACAGCAACAGCAGCAGCATCAACAACAACAGCAACAAGCAGCTGTTGCAGCCGCTGCTGCAGCGGCAGCAGCTGCCTCATATCATCGCTCCAATCCCACAAGCCCTACGACCATGCCGCAAACGTCCGCTGCACAAAGCTACATTCTGCGCTATGGCGGCGGTGGTGGCGGCGGCGGTGGTGGTGGTGGTGGTGGTGCAGCTGCAGCTTCGGGTAGCAGCGGTAGCATTGCCAATGTGCCAGCTTCCAGCAATGCCAGCTCCGGATCTGGCGGCTATCAGCCGCAGCTGCGCGGCGGCGTTCCAGTTTTTCCGCCAAATCCGCTGGCCGGCATTAATGTGAGCAACGCATCTGGTGCACTGCAGCCGCAGCCATCTCCACAGATCAAGCGCAAGCAGACGCCGACGAGGCCAATGAGCTTTGTGCGCGCCCTGGAAATGACCGACTCCATGGAGATGCAGACACTTGAGCAGCAGCAAGCGGCAGTGGCGGCTGCAACCATGGCGCGCAACAATGGCGGTCTGCCCAGCGGCGTACCAACGAGCCTGGCACAACAGAATGCGGCAGCTGCAGCCGCGGCAGCAGCTGTTGGACGTAATGCGGCAGCAGCGGCAGCCGCGGCTGCGGCAAATGCCAGTGGCACACCGGATCGCGCGAGCATCTACGATATGAACTACGAGATCTCCGTATAACCCGTGGTTGTGCCCGTCGTCGTAATGCCACCCGCCTCAGTAACAGCAGCCAGCAGTGCAGTCGCCACGGCAACGGCGACGACCGCCTTCTACGCGCAGCAACAACAACTGCAACGCGCCATATTAAGCAATGGGGCAGAGCCGGCGGCGTACGCTTCGGTGCCCATACCCATGCCCGTGTCCGTGCTGGTCGCCAAGCACAGCAACGGGAGCAACCAGAGCCACCTCAACATCAGTAAGACGCCAAACAAGCGCAAGTTCTCCACGTTCTTCTGAAGCTTCAGTCAGATATATAGCTATATATATATATATATATATATATATATATATATATATATTTATGTATAGGTGTGTGTGTGCTTATGTATATTTATACACACGTATTGGGATATCGCTTAGCAGCTCGGTTTTGCTCTTTTATTTTTTTTTACTTTTAACGTTTTGTTTTATTTTTATTCGGATATGATTTTTTTTTATTATTATTTATTCATCTGTTTTTTTTTTTTAATAGTTTAAATAAGAATTTTAAAGTTGATAACACACTTCGGAAGAACTGTAAATAGAGAAAACTATTTTTAAGCGTTTATTTTGTACGCGCTTTTAGTCTCCTACGCATAAGACACGGCAATTCTTAGTGTTTTCATACTGTCAAAATACCATGAAAAACGAAACTTGGTAAACTTCAATTTAATTAAGATACGACTCGGCATGCTTACAATCGAGCAAATGCGAAAGTATATATCTACTATATACCTTCGCATATATTTATATATATATATACGTATACATAAAGATATATAAATATTTGCATTGCAATCAATTTGAATATATATTGACAGTCAGGTCAGAAATAAATTGTGGAGCTCGATTAAGAGTTTGATTACGAGTTTAAGTAGCTATCTACATAATACCATGTACTACTACTATTGCAACTACACCTAGTGGAAAACGCCAAAATTTGTAACCGAGTATCGAAGATAACTTAATATATCTATATGCATGTGCTGAACGCACAGTCTGCATGTGCGAGTATGCGTGTGTGTGTGTGAGAGAGAGAGTGCGAGTGTATGGGTGCATGCATTATATATGCATAAACATATGTATATAGAGGTCGCTCGAAAAGTGACAATCTTTCGGTTCCACAGCTCCTTTAAAATACTGTTTTATTTTAATTTCTCGAAAAATTAAAAACAAACAATTGCATTAAATTATATGCCAAACACAAGACAATTCCAATTTACGAGCGACCCCTGCAATAGATTACATATGTGTATATATAATATTTTGCATTAGCTAAGTACGTGTAAATTTTGCCATATATATGTATGCTTGTATGCGTATATAGGGAATACATATATAGTACATATATAACTCATGTATGGGTATTCGGCTAAAATGGCGCATCAAAATTTAAACAGCTACCAAAAGGCCAGCAAGTCAAGTTGAATCGATCAAAAGAGAGAGAGATTTATGTTGACCTGTGTTGTGTCTCTAATAACGTCCACTTCTAATTGTATGAATTTTGTACATAAGTGTGTATATTTATGTATGTGTAATGTGTATTATGTATTATGTATTTTATGTTGAGGCCAAATTGTTATTGTGTTGTTCTTGTTGTTGTTGACGCTGATAAGCCATGTACATACAAACAGAGACAACAGAGTAACAAAGTTTGGCCCGTGCTTATGTATATTTAAAACTTTGTTGTTATGTTTTTAAGTCCAATTAGTGTTTATTTTGTGCTCTGCCGCTTGTTAAAAATCAATCAATCAATCATTTTGAATGACTCTCCACACAATCAAAACGCAATCACATTGAAGAAGGGCTTCTTGTCATTGCTGGTCCAGTCCCAGTTTAGCGAAATTGAATTGAATTGAAATCGATTTGAACCCGAATTGCTGTTAGTTTCGCAAGGAAGTTAACAATACAAAATGCAACAAATAAATAGAATTAATGTTTGTAATAAAGCTAGCTATATTAAATTGAGTGTTCATTCACACAAGGGCCCACACAACTTATAGAGATGTCAGCGAAAAGATAGGGTGAGTGGGATGGCGACATACCCAGCTCTCAATTTAATCGTAGACGTGTGCAACACAGAAACAAGTCGTAACAAGAATTCGTGAACGAAGGCGAAATATTGTAAGTGTTTTTGCTAACAAATTAAATAATAAATTGAAAAAATATTAAAATATACTGATACAAAACGAGTGCATACGCATACATTTGTGTATGCATATTAAAATATATGAGAATGTAACTGAAACTGAATGGGAGAAAAAAAAAAAAAAAAACAAAACAAAAAAAAAACGAAAAGAAAAGAAAACAAAAAACTGTAACATTGTTTTAGATTTTTATACCAAATTTAATTAATGTCACATCATGTTGTTCAAACAATATATACATACACATATATTTATATAAATAAACACCATTTTTTTTATGCCACATTCAGTTAGGCAGTAAAAGCAACTCAAAGAGTATCTGCCCCCGAATTAAATTGTCAAGATTTAGCAGACCAGATTGCACAGTTGCAAGCATCACACATGCGTTCTTCATTGTTTTTAATTAACAAACAAAAAGTTGTTTTTTTCGTATACTGTGTGTACTTTGTAAAATATATACAACATGAAATTCAATAGCAACATTAACAGCAAGGCAATTAATATATAATAAAGATAATGAAAATTACAAATATAATCAGTTTTATTTGAAAAAATATTATACTGTCAGCTTTCTCAAGAACTGAGAAATGATTTTTTTATTTTTAATTTAATTATAATTTGTAAGCCCTTAATATGGCATATATATACATATCTGCTTTTATAAGAAACATTTTTATACATTTAAATGTGGTCGTAGTAGGCGTTGTTTGTTATCTTAGATTTTAAGAATAGTATTCAGTCATTTTGGTGTTGTCACTTAAAGCAGCCAAGAGCTAAGTATAGTTTTCTAATTTTACGAGCTTTTTTCTTTAGCTTTTACAACAAAAAAAGAACTGTTAACCGTTAACCGTGCAAAAAGGGTTGCACAGAGGCAATAAGTCCAACACCAAAAATGTTTCCGGCAACTAGAACTGAGTCTACAATGACTAATAATACAACTGTGAACACAACATCGAACCTGCATAGGTTTAACATACTGACATACAGTGCGTCCACCCAGACAAGCTCGACACTGCCTTCACCAATAGTGGTGAATGACGCGTCGGCTGGAGCTCCACCAATGGACGGGTTGACCTCGCTCTTTACAGACCTAAACATACTGACAGCCGGAAAATCGACTAGAACAACCAGCACATCAACTTAAAACCTTTCAAAACTATCGCGGTGCCACCACAATGCATTTCCTGGCAGCACAACTAAACTAGCAGAAGGCTCACACATATCGAGGCCAAAAGCATCGCCATAAGCTTCAATATCATGGCAAGAATCTGTGTTCGGTAAGCCGCTTTCGTATTTTCTTATATGTACTAAACCAAATGGGGATTATTATACAGCCATGGATGTGCTGTACACAGCAATTGTCTTGTCAGAGCCACTGAAGCTACTCCTAACCAGGGAGTCGTACACCACAAAATGGATCAATGGGCATAGTTTCAATCACTACTTTAGCTGCCCTTAGGATACCCCACAAGATCTCACGGAACAGCAACAACATCAAAATGCTGCATGGCTCAGGAATCCGATTGCTGCCAGCAATAATACTTCCCAAAAATATGGCACCATCAGGCCTTATAACTAGACTTTAACCTATACAAATCAATGCATTGTCGTGGACCGCAGAAAAGGCAATAAATAAAAGGGACGCGAAGACCAGCAGTACGAAACGAAAAAATTAAACACAAGTACAAACATGAAGATAGTATATGAAGTCCAATTTATTATAGCTAGCCCACATTCATATAAAAACCAACCCGAAATTAATTTGTGGTAAAGACCATATCTCGAAAGAGAAATATTCGCATCAGCATTAACAACGATTTTCAACGAGCACGCGGAATCGGAATGCAATTGTATAACTTCATGAGCTTCTCCTCCATATATCAACACCAAATCCAATAGATCTTTTCATACAATTGCTTATTTCAAAAACCCAAATATATATAACAAAAAATGTATATTTATATATTTATTACAGATGAAAATAATGCGGAACTTTTCCAAAAACCTTGTTGCCGTTGTCCCCCTGATCGGAACGGCCCTACCCCGCATCCGGGCATCTGGACAATTGTCCTCAGTCGATTTCGATCCAGGCTTCCTCTGCATGCTAATGTTATCCAGCGGCACGCTAGCGTCCACTGAAATCTGCAATGCAATCTACAGGTATATTTTGTAGGGATCTCATCTGTAGCTTGTTTGCGGTAAGCACAGGTCCGCAAATGATGCACACCACCTGTTAACTGCATTCGAGGCTACTTTATTAACCAAGTGGAAGCGCCCTCTATCGCATAGCCTTAATTGGGTTAGCGTGGACATGAACCGTTTTAATGTATACCGGTAAAGAAACCAGTTAGAGCAAAAGCAACTGGCTACAAGATTTTTCCATTTAAAGTGAATGAAATTTTTAAGCTCGAATTACAATCGCCATGGTCAAAACGGCGATTTTATGTCACCTTAAATCGACATAATCTCGCCATGATCAACAGTGAAGTTATGTCGATTTCAAACGTCAGATATTCCAATAAACATCAAACTTTATTGGTTCCTAAACGACCTCGTTTTTGGTATAAATTGAGATGAAACCTCTTGCTATTTTTGTCAAATCGACAACATTCAATTTTGGACAAGAAACGGTTCGGTCATGGTGCTAAACTTTTTTAATGATTTTTGGAATATCTCGGAAAAATGCCCGATTTTGGAATCTTATATCATTTTGGACTCGTAAGATTCAGTACTATCGATTGGCAATAAAAAAAATGAAAATCTATATTTTTATAAATTAGGCAGGCATGCGAGTTTTGAACGAAGCAAGACTTGAACGAAATTTCAGCTAAAGTACCAGGCGAACAGAAATGAGTTATAGGTAGACAGAGAAACTACACTTGAAAAATTGCATTGCCTACTGTTAGGAGCAAAAATGTTGGGCTGGTGCTGACCTGCGAGATAATTAGCATGTCGAAACTTGACAGCAACAGCTGTACCATTAATTTAATAAAATAAACGGCATTCGCACTTATGTACCATTCGGAACCATTCGGTTGTTCATTTTAAAATCCGACTTTTGGACGCGTATGGACCGTTACTATTGATTTAACAAAAGATGGAATAAAATAATTATTACCAGAAGCGGAGTTGGATTTTATACCAGCAGTTGATGAAGTTTTTGTTAATATCTTAGCTAAACTATTTTTGACTCGTACGGATCACGACTTACGATTGTCATTCAAAAATGTAATTCTAATTCACTTTAAACTCAAAAAGAAGTCACTGTAAAAATATCTATCCAAGCACGCAGCCTCTCGGCCAGTCAGAACAAACTCTTTTAGTTATATAGATTAACAAAAACTAACGATTTATTTCAAAAAAAAAATTTTTATTGAGTTTTCTTTAACACATACAATATTTTTTTATCCACTGAAAATTTAAATTGGTGTGTGTGTGTGTGTGTGTGTGTGTGTGTGTGTGTGTTTGTTTGTTTGTTTGTTTGTTTGTTTAAATTGTTGTTCATTGTCAATACGATGACGTTTAATATGTTTTGTTATAGCATATGTGTTTAGATAGATATAGATAAATATGTTTGTTTGCGTATGTAACTATTTTAATGTAAATATGTGTATGTGTGAGTGCGCATATACTTGTCAGTGCTCAAATGCGCACTGATACAAAAAATTACATAATTATATTATGCCTTCTATTAAACGTATAAAAACTTGGTTATTTTATAAATAATTTTCTATACGTGTAAGTATGTGTATAATGTACTGCATAATATAAATATACAGCTGTACATATGTATGTATGTATATTGAGTAAACATTTATTTCATTATCGATTGTATATGTATTTAAATCGTATATGTATGCATAGATGTGCCTTGTTTACATATGTACTTCCAAGTGCGTAGATATAGAAAATTAAAAAAAAAAAAAACAAAACAAAAAAAAACATACATTTCTGGTAATTTGTTGTTTAGAAACACAGATATTTATATAATATACGAGGACATGTATAGAATAATTTTTATAAGCATATACACATACAACATCCAAGTATTTTGTTTTGTTTTATTTTTATTTGTGGTACGTAAGGAAAATTTGTTAGCTGCTGCGAGCAAAAAACAGGGTACAATTTGCAGAATATATGTATATCGAAACGTACTTCAAGTCGCATGACAATAATTTCTTTGATATCTTGAAATGGTTCCTATAGATTTTCGCTAGGTTTTTTGCCTAACTATCTATGCCGATCTGTGCCTGTCGCCGTTTAACAGTTTTATCGTTTAAACTAATACTTATTGTACATGCAACATCGTGTGCTGCTTGGCTTTGCCGCTATGTATTTATTTTGAATATTTTTTATTTTTATTAAAGCCCCCCTGCTCCTTCTTTTTGTTGAACTTAGATTGTTTCATGTGCATCTTAAATGCTATAGCAAAAAAAATGCATATTTGGATATTAATTTTATATAATTATTGATATAAAAAAAAAAAATGTTTACTTATGTCTAACGTTTATATACTTAGAAAAAAATAAGAGCAGCACAAAAAAAAATTAAATAAGGCATAGTTCTTTGCTCCAAAGATTAGCTATAGTTATGTATACATATATACGTATAAATATATATTCGATATATCAAATTGAATAAACAAAAAGGTGCTTCAAGCTACTCATGGCATATCCAGCCATGAACATATATAGCCCTAAGCTCGTGTTTAAGTCTAGCCTAACACTATAAAGTACACATGAGATGGTTATTTATATACATTTGGCAAACGATGCCCCGTGCTGCAATTAGTGGCACCGCATCAATTGGACTGTGGGGGTGGTGGGAGGGGGGACTCACTAGAACTCCTTCAGGCTGCCGCCGCGCTTAAGCTTGGTGAGTCGCTTTAGGCTGGCGCTGAGCATGCCGCTGCCACTGCCGCTGGCCACCGCGAGCCGCTCACCATCCGACCGCCAGTTGTAGCTGCTGAGACCCGACGCGCTGCGGTCGCGTTCTCGTTCGCGCTGCGTGAACGTGCCACGGAAACGGACACGTCCACGACGCTGCTCGCCAACGCGTCGCCAGAGCTCGGTCAACGGCGGGTGGTGCTGGTGCGGGTGCTGCTGCAACGTGCAGCAGCACACCAACTCCTGAGATTATAACTTCTTCTCCCAGACGACGATGTGCGCGTCGTTTGAATTGGCCGTCAGCGGTGAAAAACTTCCGGAGCCGCCGCCCGTGCCGGAGGCAGCGCCAGCGTTGCCACACGAACCGGAGGCGCCCTTCTGACCGGGCGAGCTGCCGCTGGTGTTGTACCAGACATGTCGCCAATAGCCACGGCCGCCCATTAGGGTGATAACGGTGCGCGGTCCGTCCGCATTCTGCTGCTGCTGCTGCTTCGAGTTCTGCTTTTGTTTGCGCTTTAATGTGGCAACGGCCGCCGGCGCAGCCTGCTTATCAGAGGCAGTTGCCTGAGCGTGCATGTGCTTGAAACCGTCCTCGGATTTGGGCGTGCTGTTTGACAAATGATGGTGGTGCTGCTGGTGTATGTCGGCGGTGGTCATGAGACCGTTCTCCGATATGTTGCCCAGGTCACTGCCAGTGCCAGACGTCTTGTGACTGGCGCTGCTGCTGTTGCGGGAAACGGAGCGTCCGCCAAAGAGGCGTATGCCCATGCTCTCCTCGCTGCCCGATGACGTATACAAGCTGGACGACTTGGAGTCCACCGACCAATTGGACAGATCGAGCGAGCGCGGTCGCGAGGCCTTCATACGCAAACGCCTGTCCAGGGTGCACACCTTGCCGGGTATGGCAGCCAGCTCGGGATCGGAGCGCCGCATGCCCTCGTACATCATGTCCATGAGGTTGCCCTGGGTGCCCTCTTCAGCATCGTAATTCTCCTTGACAAAGATCAACTTTCCGTACAGCCCATACACATCGCAGTAGCCGTGCTCGCCATGCTGCGACAGTGCGGTCGCATTTGAGTGCACTCCGATGGCTCCGGTGCATCCAGCCGCTGCTGAGCCCAGGCCTCGTGGTAGCGTCTTCGACATGCGCGAACCGGCATCACCAGCGCCGGCACCCAAATCCCGGAACCGTTTGCGATGGAATGCAGGCGAGTTAGCCAGTGAAGCGCGAATCTTGGCGGTGAAGCTCTGGTCCAGCGAGTGCTGCTTGTCCAACTTGGAGCTGCGTGGCGAGGATGCAGCCGAGGCGGGCGTTGCCACGTTGGAGTCCGGTGTTGCCTCGACGCTTGGCTCACGCAGCATGCAAGTTGCAGGCGTATTCGAGCCAGCTGCCGAACCGGATGTTGAGCCGGGCTCCTCTTTGGGTAGGTCACGACGTAAAATGACTGTGCTTTCGTCTAGGTCCGTTTCGGTCAACTTTTTGGGATCCGCATCGATGGCGGGCAAATGCAAATCCTCGCCCATGCTGGGCACACTGGGCACCAGCGGTGCTGACATTGTTGCTGCGGCTGTCGGTTTGTACGCTGGATACACTTTCGGTATGAGCGGCAGGAGGAACGTGATGGGACCAAAGTGGGCGTGACAGGACATATTAATGCCGCCACTGATGATGGGAACGCCCTCGAGCCGGGGCAGCGGTATGGTAACAGCGATGCCCACATTTGTGCCCACCCAGAGCAGACCTTTGCAAGCCATCAGGGCTGTCACATAAATTGAGCTGTTGTTTAGCGGCTGCTCCTTTTTGGCATCGTTGCGCAGCACGCTGGAGGCGATATTAATGTCCTGCAGATGCTTAAACGTCTCGGTGTGGTAGAGACAGAGCATTGTCGAGTTCTTTAGCGAGATCCAGAGCCCGATGCCCGAGTGCGCCATCAGATTAACCTGCTGGCTGGCACCATGCTGCACCTCGAAGCTGCGCTGCAGCTCCCCGTTGAGTGCGTTGAGCACGTAGACGCGATTGGCGCAGGATGCGTAGATATTCATGTTGATTGGCAGCATGCTCGGCACAGACATGCCAGACTCGCCCAGTGTCACCTGCTGGGGATCGCGCAGCTGCCAGACACCGTCATGGGCACGCCTATAGATCAGCACGGTGGCATTCGAGAGTGACACGAAGACGGCATCGAAGTGGTACAGAATGCGTTGGACAGCGCCGGGCACCGTAAAGCTGCCTAGCTGCTCCTCCTGCTCCGGATTGCGGGCCGAATAGATGAGCAGCTTGCGGCTGTCCGTGCCCAGCCAAACGAGATCGCCTAAAAGGCTGCTATGCTCCTCCCGTGTGCGGCACTGGTCCAGACCCTTGACAAACTCCAACGCTGACACCTGCGTCTCCACCAGATCAAAGCAGCCCGCCTCCCGCAAATTGCCCGCCTGCTGTGGGTGCTGTGCCAGCACAGTGATGTGCGACGAAGTGCCATCGCTGCTGCACATCCACAGATAGTTCAGCTGCTTGTGCCGGCGTCGCGCGTTCCCGCTCTGCTTTGTGTCATTGGCGATGCTGTAGTAGCATCCACAGCGCACCTGAGGAATAAAACGAAAAAGAGTACGTTAGCTGTGAATTTGAGAAGCTTATAAAAACCTATTTTATATTCTGATCTCAATCATATTTGTAAGCAAATGGTCTTAAGCACAGTATTTATATAAAAACAAGTATGAGGCTCTAGTCGAGAGCTCCCGACTAGGGGATACCCTGAACCCTCTTCTTCCAACATCAAATGCATATATATATTCTATTTTAGAAGCTATATGTCAAGTTTGGTGACTCTAGCTCTTATTTTTACCAAAATTGCCATACACATGATATCGATTACTTGGAAACGGAGTAAGTTATCGATTATCGGCAGCAAACTCGATCTGCGCAGGCACTAGGAGGACCTACATCTAAAATTTTTTGAATTCGTACGAATCCCTTCTATCATAAGGCATTCAAACAAATTAAAAATTGATGGGTTGAAATGAGTTGTTGACCAAAAAACGTTTCGTTTGTAAAATCAACATTTTTTGATAATTTTTTTAGACTATCTCGGCCAAATAATCTCGTTTTGGAACGTCATATCTCCGCGCGGAGCTATTACTCGAGAACTATTACCCGGGGTAGGTTCGAATATCAAAACTTTTTTGAATATTTTTTTGAAAATCTCGGGTAAATATAATCTGATTTTTAAATATTATACCTTTTTGAATTCGTACGGATCCCTACTATCATATGGCATTCATAGAAATTAAAAATTGATGGGTTGGAAAAAGTTGTTGACAACAAAAAACGTTTCGTTGGTATAATCAACCTTTTTTATTGATTTTTTTAGACTATCTCTGCCAAGTAATCTCAGAGTCGCAGCATTCGCCAACCCATACAAGAGACCTCGCTGAGAGGTGTGTAGTCAGAAGGCTCAAGAAAAGATCCTTTAGAGACCTCCTCCAACCACGACACAGGAGAAGCCCCAGAGTCCACCGACTACCTACGTGACGGTGCAGCCTTACTCAAAGAAGACGGCTTTGACGTTTGTCCACGATAAAGACTGAGGAGCCAACCAGGATTGGCGAGATACCACCTAAGTTAACGGTTTTGTAATATAAATGTATGCTATTTTTTGATTCAATACAATAAACATATATAAGTTAAAAAAAAAACACTTTTGACGATTTTTTTTTTTTTGAACTCGGGTAAATATATCCTGTTTTTGAAATGTTATACCTTTTTGAATTCGTACGAATCCCTTCTATCATACGGCATTCAAACAAATTACAAATTAATGGGTTGAAATGAGTTGTTGACCAAAAAACGTTTCGTTTGTGAAATCAACCTTTTTTGATAATTTTTTAGACTATCTCGGCCAAATAATGTCAGATTTTGGAATTTTATACTATTTTTGACTCGCAAAGATCAGTACTATCGATTGGCATCAGAAAACTAAAAATCTAAATTTTGAGCCTAATCGACCAAAAAGCAAGGGGTTACATCACGTTTTATTCCAAAATCGGGGTAGGTTCGAATATCTTGTTTGACGAATTTTTTGAAAATCTCGGGTAAATATAATCTCATTTTAAAATGTTATACCTTTTTGAATGCGTACGGATCCCTAGTATGGCATTCATTAAAAAAAAAGTTGTTGGCCAAAAAACGTTTCGCTTGCAAAGTCCCCCTTTTTTGGAGTATCTCAAGTGAGATTCATTAAATTATGCTAAACGAAGTACTGTCCCAATCGAGCTCTCTCCACTGGATTTATTCAAGCCATGTAAATAGGTAGCTTTATCTAAATCAATATACTTACTTTGCATACCCAAGCCATTTGCATGAACATAATATTAAACAAGTAAGATGTTCTAGTCGGGAGCTCCCTTCTCTTCTTCCAACATCAAATGCATATATATATTCTATTTTAGAAGCTATATGTCAAGTTTGGTGACTCTAGCTCTTATTATTTGCCAAAATTGCCCAAAAAACAGGATATCGATATCGATTTTTATCGATTGCTTGGAAACGGAGTAAGTTATCGATTATCGGAAACAAACTCGATCTGCGCGGGAACTAGGAGCACCTACATCTAAAATTTCAAGCCTCTAGCTCTTATAGGTTCTGAGATCCTTGCGTTCATACATACGGACGGACGGACGGACGGGCGGACAGACAGACGGACATGGCTAGATCGAGTCGGCTATTTATGCTGATCAAGAATATATATACTTCATAGGTTCGGAGATGCTTCCTTCTGCCTGTTACGTACATTTGGCTTTCGCACAAATACAATATACCCTTATACCCATTTTTAATGGGTTCAGGGTATAAAAATAAGTTGAATTTAACAGAAGGTAGTATAAACATAAAAATCGCATAGAAAGGCGTTACATATTTAATAGATAGAGGGAGACAGCCTGTGAGAGATAGAGAGAAAGAAAAAGAGAGAGTGAGACAGACACAGAGAGAGAGAGAGAGAGAGAGAGAGAGAAAGAGAGAGAAAGAGAGTAAGACAAGGGAAGAGTGCGCAAGCACAAAGCTTATTTATCACAGTGTCAAATGAAACGTTTAATATTGATAATATTTTGAGTTTAGGGTATGCAAAGCGTTTCATATATAGAATACATTTGCGTTCCTATTGCAAATTATGGCCCTATCCGATAGAGATAAATAATATATAAAACATATGCTTTATTTGAATATTGTGATTCCTTTCATTGGATTTGGCTTTTGCTGCTTCCATGTATGCCTTTGGGGGCATTACTTACCTCCGTTTGATGCTGTGACCGGTAAACGGGCATCGCCTTGACAAAGAGCGGCATCTTGCGCGACTGCTTCTGCTGGACGGCTTCCTGGAGCTGCTGCTGCTCGTAGGTGTGCAGTGTGGCCTGCGGACTGCCGGGCGATTGCAGGGTATGGGCATTGGGATGCTGGTGATGTGAATGTGATTGATGTGGTTGCGAACCCGAGAAAGATCGTTCCCAGGCGGGCGAGTTGTTCGGATCGAGAGCCAGCTGTGCGAGCCGCAGCTCAGTGATCCACTCCTTTTTCACATTTGGTGTCTGCGTTTGGAAAGTGAAGGTCTCCTCCTTGCCGGACTTGTGGCGGCCAATTAGTTGCAAGCAGCAGGAGTCCACCCAGGCCATCTCCTCGTCCTTGCGCTGAATGGAGCCCTGTATGGTATTGAGCACATTGCGCGTTGTATTCAAGTTGAGTTCCTTGTAGCTGCCTTTAAGTGTGCCGACCAGGTCGTGTATGCGCGATATAACCTCATAGTCGTACATCAGTGTGCTCATCTCGTTGCACAGATTATCCGCTCCGTTTGTGAGCTGTGCGGCTGGCGAGCTATGCGCATCTCCGCTGGCAAAGGGCGATCCCAAGCCCGGTAGCCCGCCCTGACCATGGCCGGAGAGCGTTGCATTTGCATAGCCGCCGGCGGTGGTATTTCCAGTGCTGCCATTCGACTTGAGACTGCCTCCACGATTCAGACCTGTGCAGCAGGAAAACAGTTGCGAGTTAGAGTATGCTCAGTTATGAAGCCTGGCCAACATACCTGCTGTTAATATTCTAGATAATGTTGCGGATGCGCTGTTGTCCACAATCTCGACATCGTTGACGGGAAACATCCACTTAAAGGTGAGCTTCTCGGTGGCGCCGAAATCATGGGATTGCTTGGGCGCCACAGACACGCAGATGACCTTGTCGTTGAGCAGCAGCAGACGTCGTTGCTTGCACTTGACTATGAAGCCCGCCTGGTTGAACTCCATGTGAGTGACATTGTCCTCGCGGAGCAGATAGCGGGCCCGATTTCCGCAGCTGTCGCTGACGCTGTTGAGGGAGCGTGTATTAAATGTGCCGCTTATGTGGCCAAGCATCTCCTTGAAGGCCTGATACTGCTCCGCCTCACGCTTGCTCTCGTTGAGCAGCTCGGCGAGCAGCTCCAGCTGTGACAGCGCCAGCTGCAGAGACATGCGATCGTGGTGACCCTGTGGCGTGTACTTGAGCAGGTCCTGCAGAAAGAGTATAAACTGGGGAAAGCGCTGCACGGGCTTCACCATCAGTCCAAAGAAGGATAGCCGATCGTGGGCACTGATCTGCTTCACCTTGAAGAAATCAGCCAGCGCCGATTTGCGCTTCTCCTCCATTTTGGCAAGTTCCATGGCCGCCGAGAAGTTGTTGATGAAGCCCGAGTATATCTCTAACAATTGCGGCTTGCCAAAGGCGCCCACAAAGCAATCGCCGATCTTCTCATCCCGATCCCAGTTGCGTACACACTCGGACAACGAGATGCGGAACAGCTTGTGTGAGTGTAGAATGTCCGGCAAGCAATGGAATAGCGTTGCGATCTTCACTGGATTTAGCACCGGTGGACTGCACTCCTCCAGCGGCTTCTTGTAATCCTGCCAAAAAAAAGGCGAGAGAAAAAGAGAGAGTTGAGAGTAAACCTGCTGATAGACGCATTGCTACATTTTCAGATGTCGATGCTTTACCAAAAGTTGCAAGATCTCTGTTCGCCAACTCGAAATGCTCGGTTTAATTCTATTTTGGTTCTTTTTAATGGGTGTTTAACTAATTTTGCAACTACTCTTTTCATAAAGGTTGTTTGAAATGGTTAAGTGAATGATGCTTCGTATTGAGTTGGTGTGAGTGTGGGTGTCAAGAGTATCGAATATATAGTTACAATTTACATAGGTGTGCGTGTGTGTGTGTGAATTTGTGTGTTAGAATTGGAGTTAGTTATGACGGAGAGTGACGGCATATGACGGTGGGAATTGGATGGCATGTAAAGAAGAAAACAAATGAGTTGTCATGAGAGTTAACATTAACATAAATCGGTGTTTATTAGAGCCATTACGTAATAATCAGTAGGGGAAATGGGAACAAGAAAAGTTACCATATTCGGATTTCCGAATATAAAATACCTTTGCAGACATTTGGCAATATACATTTTAACATTTTCTCTACATACATTTAAATAAAAAGTTTTTCAAATCTAAATTTACGTTTGATTGCATTTGACTTTTAATATTGATATTATATTATGCATAATACACTGTTGTTCTATATTTTAGAAAATTGTTATAAAATGAAATTTTTAATGAAATATTTTCTATGAATGTATATTTTGGGATTACGTTTTTTCAATACAAGAATTTGTTTAAATCACAGAATTTAGATGAATTTATGCAAAGTTTCAATTTAATGGCTGCAAAACTAGCCCAGTTTGCATATAAACAAATAGGAAGAAATATAGTGAGCTTTTAGTACATATACAAAACAAACAATTTTCTTTGCAAGGATATACAAATTAAAAATCTGAGGCCTAAGGGTGCCAAGAATTTCAACTGACACAAGTGTGCCCGAGAGTGAACACAAACTCAAATACATATATATTTATATACGGAAATTAATAAGACGTACAAAAAATCAGAATTTTTATTATTTATTATATATGCACCACTATATGAGATTTAATCCACTTTTGGCTTACAAGATGACAACAACAGACAACAAATTGAAACAGAGTACAGTCCACGATGAGGACGGTATTCTGGAGCTGGACGCGGACAAGGTAACTTTGGTGGCCGATACATTCAGCAAGGTGGAGATGTACCTGCAATCTGACACAAAGCGGGGCTATGTCAAGCTTAACGCGCCCGGCCTCTACAGTTTTCAAATGCCTGATCACCCTGACGGTGACCGTGAGAGCACCACACACAACGAGGATGATGATTCAACGCTGACTGACAGTTGGACAAAGGAGAGCGTGGACGAGATCAATTTAATTAACGAGGATGACGAGGCGCAGCTCGGAGTTATCCAAAGAGACGAAGAGACTGGCGAGATGTATATACTGATGCCCCTAGAAGTGGACGTGCTGCTCCATCCCGAGTCAAGTGTAATGAGCGAGCAGCCTTCAAGTCTCACCACGGTCGACTCCTCGACGACCATTGCTGGCATAAGTGATGAGGACGAGGAGGACGCGTCGCAGACGACGCTGACAGAGAATCCCCGGCCTCTCAATGTGTTGCATGCCGATCAGGCAGGTCGAGAAATACTATGCGAACACGAAGTATGCAGATTTGTGGTGCCGAAGATGAGCCTCAAGTTTAAGCTGACACTCCAAGTTGGAGAGCCAAATGATGGAGAAGAAATATGGGACTAGAAATAATGTTATCCTACGAACAAAATTCGCTACATGTAGCTGCCATTTACTCTACCTAAGCCCTCAAGCCTAAACAACCATTTTGCTGATTTTAGTTGATAAATTTAGTGTTTAGAGTACTGTGAACTTTTTACTCGTATTCGAAATTTAACTCATACTCATACTCACACTGGTACTCGTACTTATATTCTTAGTTATACTTGGACTGGCACTTACACTCATACCCGTAATCATAATCATGCACATATTCCTACTTGTACTCATCCTCATGCACACGTACTCGTACTTGCAATCGCATTCGAACCCATAATAGTACTCATGCATTGCACTCGCCATACTCATACTCATACTCATACTCATACTCATACTCATACTCATACTCATACTCATACTCATACTCATACTCATACTCATACTCATACTCATACTCATACTCATACTCATACTCATACACATACTCATACTCATACTCATATGCATTAGTACTCACATTGACTAGACGTTGTAAAGTGGCCACGTATGAGTTCTCACTGTGAACGATGGCGGCCACAATGTGGCGCCGCTTGAGCTGCTGCTGGGATAGACCGGGCGGTGCCGGCGGCAGCATTGGCACTATGAGCCGGCTATGGGCGGTGCGTGCGGTGCCATTGGCCCGACTGCCCGGCGGTATCATCAGGTCCATATCGAAGCGGCTGCTGTCCGGTGCGGAGTTCTCATCATCCTCGTACTGAAAAAGAGTTGGTGACTTGTTAAGCATTTGACTGTTTGTAACGGATTATTCCTTGTGGACTTACCTCGGGCACGCCTGGCATCATTTTGCTGGCACCCAGATTGGCCAGCTTCTGTGGCGAGGCGGCGTCCAGCGTCGCTGTCACTGTGGTTGGCTTTGGCGTGGCTGCGCCAGATGCGTCCGGTATGTCAAAACTAGAGGCCGTAGACTGCCTACCATCGCGTCCACCCACATCATATTGGTGTGTGGAGCCACGTCGAATGGAGAACCAACGCGAAAGACGTCCGCCCGGCGATTCCCCGGGTGCGGTGTTCTCCTCGCGCTGAGCCGATGCCCCTGAGCTGGTGGGCATCGTGCAGGCACTAGCTCTTCGCATAATCATGTTGCTGTCGCGGCTGCCGTTACTGGCGCTCTGACTGCACTGCGGCTGGGCGGAGGAGTGAGTGTTTGCGTTTGCGCTAGAGGACGAGTTGGTAGAGGCAGCCGTGCGCCATTTGTCAAACGACAAATGCTGCTTGGCCTTGTTGAAGGTGGAACGCAATTGGGAATTGCGTTGGTTGCCAGCGCTTAACGAACTCACGCTGCTGCTGGTCTGTTCCTCTTCTGTAAAGTTCTCCTCGTCGGAGTGGCTCGCTGTGGGCGCCTCTCGGCGTTCCCGTCCCGGTGATTTTGTGTCCCGTTCGCTGCTGCTGCTCGCGCTGCTGCCAACACCGACACCAACACCAACGGCAGCCTGGCCACCGTTGGCGCTGAAGCTTCCGCCGGCAATTGTGGCGCTGTCTGCCTGCTGGCTGATCTGGCAGCCCTTCGCGCGCTGTTGCTGCTCAGCAATCCGACGACTAAAGGCGCTGTGCAGCTGTGCTGTGGTCAAGCTCGCCTTCTGACTTGTGATCCCCTGACTTGGCGATGTGATGAACGAGGATGTCTGATGCGTCTGCGCCTGCGACTGCAACTGCGATTGCGACTGCTGTGTTTGTTGTTCCGGCTCCGCCAAAGTATCCTCCCATGAGCTGGAGTTCAGTTTGTTTTCATCTGTAAGATAAGATCCGATACAGAAAAAGAATGAATACGGGCTTAGTTGATTGATTGGCTGGCTGACTGGCTGATGACGCCATCCGCTAATGTTCGCAATGATTGGCAATTAAAAGGCGGCAGTTTAACGCAAGTTGGATTAAGCCAAGTGGCTGGCTCCAGGCGCGCGAAAATACGAAGCTCAACAGCTTACAACCATTTGGCCATGTGCAGTAGCATGCGTGGGCTGCCCGCAGGGGCACAGCATCAAAGCCATTGCCGACGCTATACCAAAGAGAGCATTGTAGTTAGAATAATCCGACTGGGCCATACCCTATCCTGGGAGGGACTTCACGTTATGTCCCACTTGAAAGTCAAGCCTTGTAGCTCTTAGGGATTGAGTTGTGGCTTGATCACCAGTCAGTCAGGACATACTCTTTTATGTATATGTATAAATATGCGGACGGACGGACGGACGGACAAACAGACGGACATAGGCTTTTAGTAATATACCCGATTTGCTTTTTTGAGCAGGCCAAGCTCAAGAACTGTTGTCGCGTCGATCGTAGCTCGTTAGCGCCGGCGGCAAGCTGCGTGGGCTTCTTTGAAGTGGCCATGACCACAGGCAGCAGCAACCAATAACCAGCACCAGCAACAAGCAGCGCGGCAACAGTATTAGAAACAAGAACAACAACAACAACAACCACAGCCACACATAGTATTAGCAGATTTATCATGCCGAAAACACAAACAACAAGCCATGCCGTGACAGACAATACAACAAGAACAACGAGAATATTAAGAACAATATATGGGGACATAACAATTGGCGCTGAGATTGCTGCCAATTCACGTGGCCATAATTAATCATGCAGTAAACAATGCGATAACTGCGAGTTAACTGGTCCTGTTGTCCTTTACCAAGGGCGTGGCAATCCCTTAATGTAGTGTGGCAAAGAGATACGACAGTTGCGCCACAAAATGGCCGGATACAGCGTGGGCAACAAACATAAATGCCGGCAGACCAATATTTGCCAATTTCAAGGCATCTTAAACAGCCTGCCATATGAGAGTGTGCGTCCGTGTGGGTGTGAGTGTGTGTGTTTGTATTTGTGTAAAGCAAACAGTGGCTGCCACTGGCAGGCTACCTCTACTCGCCCCCCAGTCACTCTCATCTGCAGCACTTTAACCATTTGGCAAAAACCCGCTTTTACAAAATTGAGTTTGTGTAACTTTTATTAGGAACCCAACGCATATTGAAAGCAACCAATGCGTTTAGCTATACCCTGTACCGCAACTAAATGCAAAGGGCATGTACGTCTGCTACTCGTGCTTTTCCCAAACTTATGTAGCTGACAGTTGACCTAAAAGCTGAAGTGAACATTAAATGGGTTTGCTTTTCGACTGTTGTTGCTATTCCTGTTACTGGGTATCTTGCAGTCGAGCCATTACGGCTACTCTCGCTCGTATACATATTAGTACTAATGTTGATACTTTTCGGCTTCATAATGGGCAAAAGTTTGGCGTCTTTCGAAAGGCATTCAATTGATTGGGACCAGAGCTTAATTTGATTGCTGTGCGTGTGTGTGTGTGTGTGTGCCTGTGTGCGTGTATGAAAAAGAACACATCCGAAGTTTATGTATATATTTTGATTATCATATAGCCAAAATGAGCTTTCAGTGTGTTGAGTAAGAAGTGCTGTGACTTTGGTTTAAATTCATAATTAATTTTAAATATCTCTTGCCAAGATGGGCTGAACGTGTTAGATAAAAACAGGAGATAATGATAAGATGTGAAAAAGTATGAAGTACTAAGTAGCTCACTGGCATTATTGTGCTCTTCTTTATATCAGTCATATTTTGCACGCCTTGAGACACATAATTCGGTAAAAAATGCAACCTTCGATCCCCGTCTTACATCTGAATTTAGCGAAATCAATAAAACAAATAATAAAACAATAAAACAGGCTGCTGTGGCCAATAAAAATGCATTGAATGCGAATGCAAAGACCACAAATGCGAGGCAGCAGCCATTGTCGGGCAAACTTGACATTGCGCATACGCCCAGTCTGCCGCATGGACTTAGACACTGCTCTGCTCATTTCTTGTTCTTTGGTGCAAGGCTGCGCTGTACTCTTGGTGGTGACATGACTTGTGCGGCTCTGTGGGTTTGCCTTAGCTAGCTAACTTTGCTGCCCTTGGCCGAGAGCAGCGGCCAAAGTCGCCGCCCCAGCACAAATATATATATGTATATATATATTTATATAAATATTTGTGCATACATATATAGTATATATATTGTAAGAGATTTGTTGGCTTGTCTCATGCTTCATCAGTCCGCCAGCCCACACACAGGCAAATTGATTTTAGTCAACCCACAAGTGGTGACCAGTGGCTGTTGGTGTTGTTTCACTTTTTTGTTTTCTTTCTTTCTGCTTGGTTGTGCAACGCTCGAACAGATTACGTATACGCAGTGTTGCGGCCGCGGCCGCGACGATTGCACATTAATTATGATCAAATGCAACTCCTGGGACGCGCTGTGCACTATACCTCCACTCCTTTTGCATAACGTGTCGATTTGCACAAAAAACTTATAAAAATTAATCATACGCCACGTGAGTCGCGGAGGTGGCAAAAACGCACCATTTGCATAACAAACCCAGTCCGCCACGCAGCCAGTCCGCCTGTCTGTTAGTCTGTCAGTCTGTCAGTTGGACATGCCGTCAAAGTCAGTTGAGTTGACAGTTTTTTATTCCTTAGTTCGGTCGAATTGCAATTGGTTGGCGTGATTAATGAGCCTCATTAAACGCGTCTACAGAATGCCCACAGAAGAAACGCACACAGAAATGCTAATGACTCCGGGCATTTACTTAAATTATACAAATTATATTTCATTGTTTGGCAGCTCAGCACAGCCCACACTGAAAGCGAAAATAAATGCGAAATTCATATACTCTACAACAACTGAGTGTGTCCGACGGGCAGGTACCCTGCATCCTGTGCCTGAATATTTCAAGCACACATTTCTAATGCAGTAGATTACTTCAAGTCTTATTGAGGATAATGATAATCGCATAGAAGGCCACTCATTATAAAAGCATTTAATAAAAAGAATTAATTATGCCAGATCTTTTATTTTTTACTTAACTGAAGTGTCAAAAGTATTAAAGAACTATTTTTAATAAACATTATCTTTAATGAAGCTTTCTAACAAAGCGATGAGAATTTTGAGAATGATGTATACGTGGTTATTGGGTACTCTTTTTTGACATTTAACATACATTTGCAAAACAACAGCTTGCCCTTTCTTTTTGTTGTTTTTTTTTTTTTTTAACAGGTACAGGGTATTTCCAGTAAATGACAAGCATATGAGGTTTGGACAAGCTTAGAAGCTGTGACTAATTGAAATGACAGCGCAAAGTGGCCACAAAGTTGGCACCCAATTGGCTTTTAGCGCGGCTCTAACAGATTGAACAAGCTTGTCTGCATTTGCGTAAATATTTATTATACGGCCAGTTCGAATGCAGGTCACTCTTAACGCTGTCATTTGCAGCCAGGCATCAGGCAGGAGAGAAGGAGATTCAAAGTTTTTACCACACAGTTTAGCACAGTTTGACAGCGTTTGCCACTGAATGCCAATGGCAATCGCAATTCCCGGCTTTGTCACTGGCGAAAGTCACCTGCTGCGCTTTATGCAACATGCGGTCTAATGAGGCCACAAGCCAAATACTCGCCACTTGCCGGCACGAGTTTCAAAGTAATTTCGTGTGTGTCTAAAATTGAGAAGCATGCGGCGCACATGCACTTTAACCAGCGCATAAGCTTAACCAAGTTGGCCAAGTTTTTAGAGGGAGGCATCTTCAAATGGTGGGCGTAAGAGCTGCTCGCTTGGTTAGGTGGATCTCATTACGTGAAGTTCCTGCCATGCTCACTCCGTCACACGTGTGTATAATAAGTGTGGAAATTGCTTTCTATTTGCAATTTTGATGACGTTGCCAGAGCAGCGCGTGCCTCTGCCATAAACTAATTATTATAATGTAAATCACACACGCAACCCGAGCAGAAGATGTCGGGATGTTTGGTTTGGGCTCGGATTTGTTGGGTAGGTCGCCCAAGAAGCTGTGCTTGCGGCAATAGAAACTTCATGAAATGCCAACTGCCTTATCCACTCACATAATTATGAGTGCGAGTGTGCGAGTGTGCGTGTGTGGGTGCACAACAATCTTGAGTATATGAAAAATAGAAAGCAGGCATCAGCGCATATTTGCGTCAGACATAATCCCATGGTAAACTTATCGTACTTATAATGCCTGCCCATTACTCCATGGAATGAGCTATTTAAGTGTGTGATGCGTAGTTGCTTGAGCTTTAATTAGTTGTATTTCATTATTTATTTATATGACAAGTCGTTTTAGCCTTACACCAATATTAAATTGGCTACCTCAAGGTAAATGTTGCTTAGTTTTTACCTTGTCACTTGCTCGATGCTTAAACTGGTTGCGAATCGTAACGCGTCAAGCAGCAAAGCAGCTAAGCGAACAAAACCATAAATTATATGTAATGCATATATTTTATACACCCTTCAATAAAATCAGAATATATATTTGAAGGAGTTGCCTAAATTATTAAAAATAAAATAATGTTTTCAATTATCTGTTTTCAAAAACAACATTAAATATGTATTAAATATACAGCTAGGTGCCATATATGTATTTGTACTTATACATTATGGAAAATGAACGAAATGCAAAACTAAAAAAACAAACACAGTACACATTAGCCACAAGACTGAGACACCGCTGGAGGGAAAGCCGCATCCAGAATATGTACATATATATGTACAGAAATATGTATGTGGCACACATGTGTTCAAATGCGAATCAACATCATGTGCAGTGGGAAATTACAACTGAAACTGTGTCAGCCAGAACGAATGGAATAAAGATGCAACCACCTAATCCACGGGCTAATAATAAATGGCATCAGCATTAGCTAGTCAGGCGATAAGTCAGGCCAGGCCAG